CAATGTTACCAATAATTTATAAATTCCTTCAAGTACCTTTTCCAAGATGACATGCTTGTCAAAGCTATACAATTTCTAATTAATAACTGATAGTGTTTACCATGTGCCAAACACTATTCTAGGCATTTTCATGTAATATCTTGTTTGTACCCCAAAATTATGAGGTAGGTTATTATTATTCCCATTTCACAAACTAGGAAGTAAAAAACCAAAGGTAAGTAACCTGCCTGAGGTCATACAACAGGTAAATAGCAGAGAGACTTCTAAACTAAGTTTAGAAGTTGTATTAAACATTTTGTATTAGTAAATGGAAGGCAAATTCATAATAACAAATGACTCTAAGAGCATCAAATTTTCAATCCTCAGATTCAACAGCTATTACGTAGAAGGCCCTTAAATAAGTGATTACAAAACAGACAAGGTCCCTGCTATTTCAGCTTTTCACTTGTGGGTGAAGAGAAAAAAAAAAAATCATTTTAAGTCTTCACTACATTGGAGAAAATAAACATAAAAAGGAGATACTGAGCTTAGATCTAAATGACTTTAAATATCCAACCACATAACATTTCCAGAAAAGGATAAACAAGTAAAAAGAACCTGAGGAAAGATGAGACATAATTTGTAAAACAGAAAAAAAGCAATGAAAAATGTGACAAGCTGGAGAGGTAACATGAACTAATTCATATAGGGTCTCATAAACAGTATTCGTAAATAGTTTCTTAGGTTTGGTTTTCTTGTACTGGGCACTGAACCCAGGGCCCCCCACATGCTGGACAAGCCTGAGCTACATTTCCAGCCCTTTTCATTTTATTTTTGAGAAGTGGGTTTAGCTAAGTTGCCCAGACTGGCCTTCAAGTTTCAATACTTCTGCCTCAGTCTCCTAAGTAGCTGTAATTACAGGCATGTGCTACCAAGTTTATGGAAACGTTTATGGTAATGTTAATAGGGAATCATTGAAGGTTTTTGGACAGGGAAAGGACACAACCTGATTGGCATATGAAGTCACTTTGATTATATATTTAGAGTTGAAAATGAGACCAAGATAGGATAAGGACAATAATTACAGGAATTGTGAGATGGACTTTAGTTGTTATCAGAGGAACCACAAAGCAGGCAGATCAAGATGCATTTTGAAGGAAAGATACAATAATAACAAGATTTGCTGACTGACTAGATGTGGGGAGGAAAGGCAAAGACTGTAATAAGGAATCAAGGATAACACCAAGACTTTGGCTCCAGTATCAGAAAGAACTAGATTCATATCAGAACCATCTACTAAGATTCAGTTTTAAATGTTCAATCTGTGATACCTAGTAGACAATCACAGTTAGCAAACATAAGGGATCACTAATATTCAAAACTTAGCCAGGCATAGTGGTACACACCGATAAGGAATGATAGCTGCTTGGAAGGATGAGGCAGAAGGATCACCAAATATGAAGCCAGCACAGGCAACTTTGCAAGACCCTATCTCAAAATCTAAAAAGGCTGGGGGTGTTAGCTCAGTGGTAGATTACTTGCCTACTACATGTGAGACCCTGGGGTTCAATCCCCAGTACTGCAAAAAGAAAACAAACAAAAAAACTTTACTACTGGACAAATTTACTATAAATAACATCAAATGAGATGTAAAATTGGATGGCTTACAGGTTAGGGAAAGAATGCAGTCACAAAAGGATCCTTATTCTAAATTCACAATAAAATCTTCATTTATATATTAGTTATAAGTTAGTAATCTTCCAAACAATGCTATTTCTTTTGTTCTTCCTGTCCCATCTAACTCCTGGTTGTCAGAATAAACTTCCATTTACACAAAGTCCAAACTGAAAAAGGTTCAAATACATAACTACCCTCCCAGGACTATTAGAGATCTAGTTCCTAAAAACTAAAGTACAAAAAAAAATGTTGTTACCACACCAACAGGTATATGGCAGCACTGTCTTTCCAAAGATAGATGATATATTTGTGAGAACACTAAGGACCAAAACACTATAAAAGCATTGTGTAAAATTTTAATTCTTTGAATATATTTCTTGAATTTTATTTTCTTCATATACAATCTTAGTTATCTGTTCAATAATGCACAATAAATTAGTTGATGTAGTATGTTTTGATTTAAAATAAATATTTGGCTGGGGATATAGCTTAGTGGTATAGCACTTACCTAGCATGTAGGAAGCACTGAGTTCCACCCCCAGCACTGCAAAAATATAAAGTAAAATCCTCATTTTTAAACACTGGGGAAAGAATGCCCATTCCTCTTCAGAATTTAAAATAATAACCTAGGGCTGGGGTATATTTGTGAAGTAAAGTGCCTGCCTAACAAGGGGTATAGGTGTGTTGCTCAATGGTAGAACATTTGGCCAGCATGTGCAAGGCCCTGAGTTCAATCCCCAGCACAAGAAAAAAGTAAGTAACATGTATAGGGCCCTGGGGTTCAATATGGGGTGGGGAAAGACCACTTAAGAATGGGCCAGGCAGTGGTGCACACCTATAGTCCCAGGAACTTGGGAGATTGAGACAGGAGGATTGCAAGTTCAAGGCCAGCCTCAGCAACTTACTAAGGCCCTAAGCAACTCAGCAAGACTCTATCTAAAAATTAAAAAGCACTGGGGATGTAGCTAAGGGATAAGTGCCCCTGAGTTTAAAAAAAATGTATTAAGTGTTTTATGAAAATTAAGAATACATATAACATCATAAAATCTTTTAAAATCAGAAAAACTACTACTGTGCACAGTGGCACATACCTGTAATCCCAGCAGACAGGAGGATCAAGAGTTCAAAGCCAGCCTCAGCAACGGTGAGGTACTTAGCAACTCAGTGAGACCCTGTCTCTAAATAAAACACAAAATAGGACTGGGGATGTGTCTCAGTGGTCGAGTGCCCTTGAATTCAATCCCTGGTATCAAATAAATAAACAAACAAAATCAGAAAAACTGAAATAAGGAATTTTAAACTTACAAAACTGAAAAATTCTAAAGAATATCTGCTCAAATTAATGTTTCCAAACTTCATACACATCAAAAATCATCTGGAAGGCTTGTTAAAACAGACTTTCAGGCTCCTCACCTCACAAACTGATTCAGTATATCAGGGATGGGGCATTAAGAACTTTCCTTTTTTAACTAAAAATCCATGATTCTGGCATTGCTAGACCTAGCATGAAGCATACTTTACAAACCCCTACACTAATACAAAGTATACAATTTTTCAAAGATTCCTTTCCCCCCAGGCTTGAGAATACACATCTATCATACCAGCTATTCAGGAGGCTGAGGCAGGAGGATCACAAATTTGAGGGCAACCTGAGCAACTTAACAAGACCCTGTCTCAAAATTAAAAAGGTTAGGAATGTAGTTCAGTGGTAGAGTGTCTCCAGGTTCAATTCCAGTACCATGTACACATACACAAGAATCCTTTCCCTATTAATTTTGCTTAGGTTTCCATGGTGGAGCATGCCTGTAAACCAGAGGCTTGGGAAGCTGAGGCAAGAGGATCTTGAGTTCAAAGCCAGCCTCACCAACTTAGAAAGGCCCCAAGCAACTTAGGAAGACCCTGTCTCAAAATGGGGATGGGGGAAGGACACGGGATGTGGCTCAGTGGCTGAGCACCTCTGGGTTCAATCCCTAGTACCCCCTCCCCCAAAAAAAGAGTTTAAAACTGTATTATATGTACATACACACATATTTTTTTTCTTCTTTTTTAATACAATATGTCTGAATGTAACTCAAATTAAATACAGTAAAGGCCAATCCAACTCTAGATCTAAAATTACATTTGAAACAAACTAATTATGTGATATTGTATAATACCATTAACATGAAATGTCTGTAAATGGCAAATCTATACAGATTGGAGACTGTAGTAGGTAAGGACTGGGAAGAAGGGGATGAAGTGATCATTAATGGGTAAAAGAATAATTACACTAAAATCTATCAAAATATATTAAAATCAATTGAATTACACACTATAAACTCAGTGGTATATAAATCACATCTCAATAAAGCTGTTAAAGAAATTATGTGGAAGTATATACAACAGCTGAACAACATAACCAAATATTGCCATTGTAGTCACTCTTAGAAATACATAATTATAATCACAGTATCAACAGTTTTATTTTTCATCTCAGACAAACAATTCTATTCTACAAATAAAAATTATTTCAAGTCCCAAATCAGACAGATTATATAGTATTTGTAAAGCGATTAAATTATAGGCACCTGAGAATATAACCTTTGGGAATTAATGTGATGGGCCCCAGAACAATGCCATGTACCTACAATTAACAGTTCAACTTTCAGCTGCATTTTTCTTAAAAATTATTTTGCTTCACATTAGTAATTGGTTCTCTGCTCACATATCCACCAGAACAGCAGAGCAGTCATAGTGGCTTTAGTAACCACAGAAACACATACAGGTAACTGTCCAGATTTCTTCTTCTCATCTTCTCCACAACATAGTTTGTGTGGCTAATATCACAAAAAGCCTAAAACAGGGTATCAGGTAGTACTTGTACAAGACATTTTACTAAATAGGCCTACTAAAGACCTTGTTAAAACTTCCCTTACATTATTTTCATCTGTCACTCATCCATGTGATTGCTGAGAAAACACTTTGCTTTTTTAATTAAGAAAACATCTATTCCAATAAAAATTAAACCTATAGTGTCCACTTTAAAAATAAGAGGAGCGCTGGGATTGTGGCTCAGCGGTAGATCGCTTGTTCAATCCTCAGTAACACGTAAAAATAAAGGCACTGTGTTGTGTCCATTTACACCTAATAAATAAATAAATATTTCTTTTAAAAAAATAAATAAGAGAAAATTTCCAGAACCATCAAAAAAAAGAGACTCAAAGACATTTTTCAAATCTCAATGATTTTAATTAAAGTTCTCTATTTTTTTATTATCTTCCCATTGAATCTCTACTTGCTCTTCATTTTATGTCACATGACCCACAACATTAAGTATTATTTGCCTCTATGCTAACAGGACTTACGTCTCATGAGTTCCAAAAAAGAAAATGGGTAGCTTATTTGTAGGTGGCTTTACAGCTCCATCAGGAACTTCATCTACCTAAAAGAAATATTTGAAAAATTAAAATTAAAATATTTTCAATAATACATACCTGAAAAAACTAAGAATAAGACATTCAAAACAGACAAAAAATGGACTCATTATCAAAAGCCCATAATCCTATATCTCCAGTTTTGAAACCCAAGAAGTTCTAAAACACAAGATTTTTCAAAACCTCATCTGGTAGCAAAACCTGGACTGACACTAAGGTTAATTCAGTCATTCAGCTAGTATTTCTGTTGTTTCTCTGCAGAAACAATGTGTTAGATTATTATGTGCTATCCCAGACCGTACCAGCAGGAAAACGTGGCATAGGTTTCAACTTCCTAAAATACCAAATTGTTGAATTATTAAACATATTTGGCCCTAAGCTTTTCATATAAAGTATCTGAACCTATTCCACAATCCTAAACAATATTTCTGTAGGAAAGCTACACAAAAAAACACAGTAATGTAAAGGAAAAAATTGGCCTGGGGTATAGCTCACTAGTACAGTGCTTGCTCAACATGCATAAGAACACAAGAATTCGGGATGGAGTTGTGGCTCAGTGGTAGAGCACTTGCCTTAGCAAGTATGAGGCACTGGGTTCGATCCTCAGCATCACATATAAATAAATAAATAAAAGGTCCATTGACAGCTAAAAAATATTTTAAAAAAAAAGAACACAAGAATTCAATTCCCAGCACTGCAAAAAATATACAAATAAGGGCTGGGGTTATAGTATAGTTCAGTTGGTAGAGTGTTTGCCTCACATACACAAGGCCCTGGGTTCAATCCCCAACACCACCCCCCCCCCCCCAAAAAAGGTACATATATACCAAAAAAAAGAGACATTGCCAAGAGCAGTGGCCCACGCCTGTAATCCCAGCAGCTCAGGAGTCAGCAACGAGTGCTCCTAAGTTCAATCCCCAATACTCTCGCCCCAAAAAAGACATTAACAGGGGCTGGGGATATGGCTCAAGCGGTAGCGCGCTCGCCTGGCATGCGTGCGGCCCGGGTTCGATCCTCAGCACCACATACCAACAAAGATGTTGTGTCCGCCGAGAACTAAAAGAAATAAATATTAAAAAATTCTCTCTCTCTCTCTAAAAAAAAAAAAAAAAAAAAGACATTAACAAAAGTTTAAAGCAGTATTTCCCAAAGTATGAAACACATATTATGAAAAGATCCTCCATCTACATGGTTGAATCAGATGGGGTTATCTATTCCTTTTTCAGTTCTCTTTCAACCCTTTTAATTAAGGAAAACAGCATTAGGTGGTATTTGTTATATCTAACATTTCTGTAATGTTACTCTCCTTTATTCCCTGTATTCAAACTAGAAAGAATTTAATAAATTCTGGTATCTAGAAAGAATTTAACAAATTTCTACTTCAAAAGCAATCTGATTAGGATTGGGGTTGTGGCTCAGCAGTATAGCACTCGCCTAGCACATGCAAGGCTCTGAGTTCAATCCTCAGCATCACATAAAAATAAATAAATAAATAAAGGTATTGTATCAAACTACAATTAAAAAAAGATTTTTTTTTAAAAAAGTCATTTAATGGGCTGGGGTTGTGGCTCAGGGGTAGAGTGCTCGCCTAGCAAGCATGAAGCACTGTCAATCCTCAGTACCATGTGAAAAATAAATATATATTTTTAAAAAAGCAATTAAAAAAAATCAGTTGACTGTCAAGGGTGCTGACTCTGTAAGCATTACACCATAGAAGGCCAGACCATAAATGTGATTGCACTGGAAGGTTTCAGACACCAATAAAGTTATTACCATCCAGCACCACTAGAGACCTTAATTTTTCCATTTATACCTGTCACTTCAACCTGTCATTTCAACTTTGTGGGAAGGCCCTAAGATTTGAAAAAATCCTTAAGCCTTTAAAATAAAGAATATTTTCTGTCAATTTAGTTCATATATTTCTTTCTGCTATTACATAGCTTTAGGAGTCTTTTCAAATGCTTATTATTAGCACAGACTGAGCTTAACAAATGTTAGGCAAATTTTTTAAAAATTGATTTAAAAAAAAAAAAAAAAAACTAGTTAAGGATTACAAGAATATGTAAGACTTAGAAGTAATCCAGTTTGGAATGAATATGTAGACAGAAAATGTTAAACCCAAAATGGGAACAAGATGTATTACCTTTACAACTGAAAACTTCAATACTCTGTAAAACAAAGATTTACAATTTCTAAGACTAAAGATGGAAAAAACATAATTCTTAAACACAGAATATGTCAAAACTAAATTTAGCTGCTTCCAAGGGGGGAAATGACAAAAAATTCCCATTGCAATCCAAATGAACTCATTAAAAGCAAGACTTGTTAAAGAAGGAAAATACTCTGACCCTCCTAAAGCTACTTTATTTTTACTTTTAATAGCACTAACTCTTAGTCACCTAACATATTGAAGGGTGTGGGGAGGATGATGTGGGAGTAGAAAATTTTTTAAGAATTTCCACTTGGCTTCTCACTAGTGTGGCTTTGGAATCTGAATATGGATGTATCAGATGCCCTCAGATTTTTATAACTCAAAAATAAAGATGCCTTGAAAAAAAAAAAAAAAGTATCTTGGAGGGACCTTAAACCTGTTCAGGTCCCTAGGCATTATTTAAATACTAAATATAGAGCTTTTTTTAAGTGCATGATTATGTAGCTAACGATTGGTGGGGTTTTTAAAAATTCCAGTTTAAGGCCACTGCCCTCAAGAAGCTTACAATATATTTGAAGTCAAAACACACACAGCTTTGCGCAGTGGCAGTATCGTAGCCAATGAGGTTTATCCGAGACACGATTATTGCTAATTGAAAACATACACAAAGTAAGAATTAAAAGATTTTCTTAAAGGGAACAGATTAGAATGCCAAATATTAGAAAAGGGTTATGATTAAAGATGTTCAAGTGAAACTCCACTGAAAAAGGAGACATGATAAGACTAACAAAAAAAAAAAAAAAAGCTTTGAAAGGAAATATGTTAAATAGATCTATAAAATAGCTGGAGAGGAAAAAAGAAATCAAGAAACTATACTTGGATGGCACTCTCAGTTGCTCCCTCCATGATTCCGTTATCTAATGGGTATCTCTGTACATTCCTCTTTCCAGCTGACATAACTAGAACTATAGGATTTAATTATTTTTGAGGCAAATTGGGAGTAAATAGTTTAAAAAAAACAATAATTACAACTTTAGAATATCTTAAAAAGATATTGAGCTTACTCTAATGTATCTCAACATTCTTTAGGTTGTATCTATATGGGTCTTAAAAACCAGGTCCCATGAAAATCTAACAAACGGTATTTTTCTGAAAATGGAGCTTAGGTATTTCACACAGTTTCAATTCCTAAGTGTCACAAAACATCCTGGGTCCTTGGAGATCACTCTATACCAGCAGATGTGATCCCAGAATCTGGTCCACTCCTCCTTTTGTCCATAGAAAACAAAAAAGTAAAATAATTTCTCAAGGTCATAAGGTAAACAACATAAATAAAAACGTGGAAATAAATTTTATGGACCTTCCTTGGTATTGACTAACTGAAAAATTTTCAAGAATATGCAGTCCTAAACACCTTTTTTTAAAACAAGCAAATCCAGAAGGTTTCATCAACTCAACTCATGTATTTTTTTAAACCCTGAAAATTCAATTTAATCAAATATACACTTCTGACATTCAAGAGTTTGTAATTCGCATAAGTTCCATTGATATTTTGTATTTTATTTAAAATTTAGTAAACGTCATGTTTCACTAGTTTTTAAACATAAATTTATTCTGGATAATTTCACCTACAGTGGAACATTAACTGGCATGTCATCTAAATATTTCCTATAAGAACACCTGTCAATGACTGTCAAAAACAAGCCATAGGGAAATAAATGAGTATGTAAGAAAACTTAAATTTTTACAATTACACGGGAGATTACCGGGCAAAAGCGAAAATGAGAAATTACAAACGAGATAAAGAAAATCGAGGGGCAGAAAGGACACAGGAAAAAAATAATAGAAATGGCAGGAAGAAGGCCTCTGAGAATGAAGGGAGCACCGCTAAACGCGAAGGCTAGAAATCACTTACTCGAGCTGGCCAATGAGGATAACCTTTCATCTTGGCGAAGATGAGGTCTCCAGGTTTGAAATCGCGAGTCATGTCTCGGGGGCGAGGCCGGGGGTCCCAAAACCAAGAGGAGATGCGGCGGTGCGCGCGGCAGAGAGATGCGGGAGCGCGGATGAGCCCAGGCTCCCTCGCCGGCGGGCGGGGGAGGATGCCTCGGGGTGTCCCGACGGGCCTGCGAGGGACAGCAGGGAGGTCGGTTAAAGCGAAGAAACCCGAAGGGAGGGGCCGCAGAGGGAGGGGGAGGGGCAGGGACAGCAAGGGTGGGGGTGGGAGAGTAAGAGGAGGGCCGCCTCCCGCTCCTCCCGGAGAGCGCGGCCTCCGCAGCTACCCCTCCAGGCTGGAACAGGTCCCTAGCCTAAAAGACGCCACCACCTGAGGCGGGGATGCTGCCCTACCACAGATTCCCTCCTCCCGCCCCATCTTTTCCAGGGCTTTTTCCACGGGCTCAAGCCCCCCAAAGGGAGGCGGATACAGTGACGAGAAAGATGGATTAAGGCGGACATTTCCCTTCCATCCACGCACAACCTCCCCCAAAACCTGCTCCCCGACGGTCGCAGCCCCTGGTCGCCCCTCGGCCGGGCCGCGTCCACTTCCCCGCTACAGCCAACAGAGAGGCCAACGAGGGTGGGGGGCGGGGCGAGTGACCGCCGCCCGCTCACCTGCCGGGTCCGTGGGCGCTGAGGCTGCGGTGGCGGGCCGGCCGCCTCCGCCCGCGTCCACGCAAGCCACCTGCGCCACCAGCTGCCGCAGAGGCGTCTCAACGGCTAAGAATCGCAACCGCCGCCACCACTGCCGCCGCCGTCGCTGCGCCGCTCCCGCGCGGCTCCCGCTCGGCGCCCGCTAGCACTGGGGCGGGACCAAGTGCTCGCTGAGGTAGGGGGGACAGTATAGCACCCCCACAAAGTCTGTGACTCCAGAGCGGAGGTTTTGAAGACCCTAGATCCTCATGTTACCTTTTCACTAATAATTGTATTCAGCAGAAAAGAGAAACAGATAAGAAAGAACGAAGAAGTGAGGGAAAATAGCTGGAGTGGCTGTGGTTCTCCCCTGTGGTTTGTGGAATGGTCGGGCCTGGCCCGCCCCTGCTGGCTGCTCTGCGTGTGTGTATTTGTATGTGTACTGTATGTAAAAGGCGGGGAGGGAGGAAGCGATTGTTGTGTATCGGGTTTAGGGGCGGATATCAGGGCCCATCGCACTTGGATGCGTATTAGGGAGAAACAGGCAGCCTGTTTTTGCATCATTTCCCAGGGCGGGGAGGCTTTAATTCTTTCTTGGGCGATTTGCATCATACAAAAAAGAGGAGCTGTACAAAAACCCATAGATAAAATTGGAGCACCAAGCGGTTGCAGGGTATGCAGCTTGTAGGCCATGCACCTCGCTGAATGAACCTTACTGTCTGCTTTTCCTTGAGATTGTAATATGAGAAAGTCTCATTCATTTATTTTACATTTAAATCACCAAAAACTGTTAAGAAAAATGCAGTCCCAACAAATGCAAAATGCGAAGGTTAAAAAACAATGACAGGAAAGCATAAGCTTATTAGATAGGATGTGAGTTTGGGCCCAGACTAAATTTTACCTGCTTCTGAATTTTATTTCCCCAGTAGAATGGTACTGGTAGGTGGTACAGTGAGTGTTACCAAATTTCAAAATACTTTTCAAGGGATTTTAAATATTACCTTATTTTTGATCCTTTAGCTTATGCATGTCATGATATATTGGTAATAATATGCCCAGCATTTGATGTGATCTGATAATTTAATATTTTTACTCTTACCAGTATTGTCTTATTGTGTTCTTTACCATTAATTCAGGTTTACAATAAATATGTAGTGAATAAGGCATTTTGAGCATTAATAAAATTAATCTTAAATTTTGTTTCATCCTTCATTGAACCCCCTCAAAAGTACCTACTGTGTATTAAGCCCACTTTGGTGTTGTGATATAGCTATGAGCAAGCACATTTACTTCCTATTTTAAAAGGGATGAAAATATATTTTAAAAGAATATTAAAATATGTAATTATTGATACTGATACATAGCTAGTACTGCTTTAAATAAAGTATTCAACTGGCAATAAATTAGAAAAAGCTTTAATGAATATACAAAAACAGCATGCCTTTTCAAAAGGAATGAATTTACATTCCCAAAGTAAAATGACCTGCAAGGACTTTCAAAAAACTAAGTTGTAGCTTAAGGTTTGCAGAGGGTTCCATGCAGAGCAAAAAGGGAATTGGCAAGGGAGAGGAAATTGTTGGTGATATGGCTTCAACTTTCTCATCCTGAATTTGACTTTGTTGACTACTTTGGAGCTATCATTGGTTGTAGAGCAAGAAAAGAATAAAAATTATTCTTTAAAAAATTTTTTCTTACTCTTTTAAGGTAGATGAAAGTAGAAAGAGGTTTGTGAAACTACTAAATGATCCATTTCTGTGCAGGATTGGAGACTATGAAGGTGGCAAGGAAGGGCACAAAATTGCATAAAAAAATAATCATCAGTTGGTGGCAAATCATGCATAGGAAAGGGGCAGAAAATTGTACTGAAGAAAAGTCCAAGAAACTGAATTATCGAATCCAAAGCATCCCTCACAAATCATTTTTTATGCAACTCCTTTGTTCTCAACACTGTAACTGTAAAGGCCTTCCAACTCCAAGTGTGGTCAGGGCCCAGCAGCATGGGCTTCACCAGGAAGCCTATTAGAAATTCACCCCCTCCCCAGACCTATTGAATTGTTTTCTGCAGTTTAACCAGATCCCCAGGTGATTGTTATATATATTCAAGTTTGACAAACTGTTATGGCCAATCCTACTATAGATTTAAGAGCTTAAAATCATGTGGGAAAGACAGATATATAATAAAATGTAATTGATGCTAAACTTTTTAATTAGTGACCAAAACTTAAGAGGCGCCAGCTAGTAAAGAAGGTGTGATTACTGTCAATGGGGAGGTCCTCAGAAAATAAAAAAATAGAGGGAAAATGGAAAAGCATTGATATGTTAGTGTGAACAAACTTCAATACTTAGCCCTTGCTGTCCATAAATTTTCACAATTTCAATTTGTGACAGCCTGCAGACAACAGATGTTACCTTGTAAACAGCAAATCAGAGCAAAACAGGTGGATGTTTCAGCCTCCAGAGAACAAAAGCCCAGGATCCCTGGGAGCAGGAATTCTGAATCTGAGAGGGGGGAAATGGAGGGGAGGGGATGGAGAAGAGGAAAGGCTGAGCACAACACTGCTACTTGGAGAGCTTTCTCCCCAGCCATGCCTCACGCACCTATCCACAGGAAAAATAATACAATTTCCAAAACTAAATCAAGGGAAATCTTAATGTATTGAGGCAGAAGCTTGACTTACATTCTGTCATGTAACCTGGGTTACCATTCCCATTTTCCAAATGAATAAAACAGGCTCACAGAAGTCAAACAACTTGCCCAAGGTCACTCAGGGAGTCTAGCAGCCAAGACAACCTTCCAGCCCTTCAGTTCTCAAGGCCACTCCTTTTTGTGATCCCAAAGGGCCTCTAGGTGGGGCAGGGAAGCAGCAAGTCTGCAGGCAGAATGGCTTATAATTAGAAAAAGATGCTGAAGTAAAAGCAATCCAGTACTTTTATTCCAGCTTCAGATTTCCTAATCATCTCCCTCAACCCCACCCCATTCCCCAGCTTGACCCACCACCAGCTCATTCTGTTTAACTCCTCCTGGACCTAAAGGACTCAATCCAAAAACTCCATCTGGAAAGATTCTAACATCATCTTCCAGTGGCATCATTTTTGCAATATTTCCTACTAGTCTTTAGACTACTTAGAAGTAGATTCTATCTTATTCATCAGAGCATGCATTTTTCAGGTACTCAATTAGTTTTTAAAAATAAATATTTATTGAATGAATGAAAGGAAGGGGCACCACATGATAAACCCTGACAAAGCCCTAAAACCTTTGAGAAATCCTGTTTGGGCTGGAGTTGGAGCTCAGTGGTACAGTGCTTGCCTAGCACACGTGAGACAATAGGTGTTCGTGAGACACTGGGTTTGATCCAGCACCACATAAAATAAATAAGTAGGGGCTGGGGTTATAGCTCAGTGGTAGAGCGCTTGCCTCGAGCATGTGAGGCACTGGGTTCAATCCTCAGCACCTCATAAAAATAAATAAAGATATTGTGTCCATCTTTAAAAAAATCTTTAAAAATAAATAAATAAGGGACTGGGTTTGTGGATTAGCGGTAGAGCACTAGCCTCACATGTGCAAGGGCCTGCGTTCGATCTTCAGCACCATATAAAAATAAATAAATAAAAATAAAGGTATTGTGTCCAACTACAACTAAAAATCAAATATTAAAAAAAATAAGTAAAGGTATTGTGTCCGTCTACAACTAAAAAAATTTCATAAATAAAAAAATACTTGGTATTTATTTTTGTTTTGACTTTATGTGTTTTTCTGTATTTAAAGACTGACCCTTTAAAAGCACTGACTTTCTTCACTAAAAATACATTCATTTGAATGGAAATCTTTATAAATGAGATTCAATGTTTATTATAAAAAATTTAGCAATAATAACCACTTGGTTCATATCTCTTATCTAATTCCCCACCGTAATACACAGAATTAGCAACACACCTTACACTTAATAGCATTTACAGGAATTATTGATCTGTTTATTTTCTTATGTGTGATGTTTTAAGTCTCATGATAAGGAACCAGTGAGAAGTTAGCAAGAACACAGGAAAAGTCAAGAGCAATAATCAAAGAATGAGTTCAGTCAGGGATGTCATTAATTCACCCAAAGCCTTCCTCCCCATGAAAATCAAGAAACATTGGAGTTTTAGCCTCAGGTGGAGAGAAACCAAGATGTATTAGCTGGTGAAACAATGACTAGACATACAGCTAAGCAGGTTTACCAATGGATAGAAAAGAGTTGTTTTCAGACACATAGAATAAGAAAAGTCTGAATGAATCTGGACTCACTGGATAGGTCAGAAAGCAATTGGGCAAAGGCAGGAATTGACAGGTGAACTATGAATGTATATTGTAAATCTGCCTAGACTGTGTGCTGTTCCAGTGGAATTTTTTTTATTGTTTTTCTACTGGGGATTGAATCAAGTGGTACTTTACCACTAAGCCATATCCCTAGTACGACATCTCCAGTCCTTTTTTTTTTTTTTAAATTTATTTTTTGGTTATCGGCAGACACAACATCTTTGTTTGTATGTGGTGCTAAGGATCGAACCCGGGCCGCATGCATGCCAGGCGAGCACGCTACCGCTTGAGCCACATCCCCAGCCCCTCCGGTCCTTTAATTTATTTTTATTTATAATTTTTTGCAGTATTGGGAAGGGAACCCAGGACATCATGCATGCTAGGGAGAACTCTACCATTGAGTTACATCCCCAGCTCTAATTCTTTGAAACAGAGTCTCTCTAAGTTGTTGAGGGTCTCTCTAAATTGCTGAGGCTGGCCTCCAACTTGTGATCCTCCTGTCTCAGCCTCACATGTCACTGGGATTATGGGTCATCATTCCTCGTCTCAGACTTTTGGTTTGCTTCTTTCTTAAATCTCCATGTGCAGTGTCAGTTAAGGCTTGTACTATCCCATATGTCCATGTACCACCTCTTTTTTACTCTTCTACCTTTTTTTGTGTGTGTCTTTTCTCCTTCTTCACCTCTTCTTTATTCTACAGTCTTCTTCCTTTTCCTGTATATTCTCACTTCCTGATTTTGGCCAGATGATGTCTTTTATTATCTGTGTTCCTTTAATTCTTGTAGGCCAGCTTTCTCAGCTGTTTTCTGAGAACAATAGCATAACTTGGGAAAGTAAAAAAG